GGGAGCAGCGCGCCACCGAGCGCCGGCTCCGCGGGCAGCTGGAGGAGCTGCGCTGCAGCATCTATGGGCTGAAGCTGTCGGAGATCGGCCTGCAGGGCCAGGTGGAGGACCTCGCCCAGCAAAACAGGCGCCTGCGAGAGGAGCTGGGAGCCCAGGCCCCCGGGGAGAGAGCGCTCAGCACTGCTGGTCACAGTAGCCTGGTAAGTGGCTGCGACCCAGGGCACGAGTGATTTCCCTCTTTTCTGTAACTTTCTGGTACAGCCACTTGGTCAAGACGTGGACTCCATTTCCCAGTCGTCCTCTTCATCCACCCACGCAACCCACCAGCCCATCCATCTGTCCCTCATTCCACCCGCTCACTCATCCACCCATCTACCCAGCCAGCCTTAACCATCCACCCAAACCTCTCCCAGCCACCTCACTGCCCATCTGTCCCCCTACTCACCCACCCATCCACCTATCCACCCGCTTGTCTACCCACACTCCATCATCGCGTTCACCCCACCATCTGCTTGTCCATCTCTCCATCCAGCCATTCCCCGGGCAGCCAACCAGCTACCCTTCATACCTCATCATCTGTTCCCTCCTGTCCGTCCATCTGTCCAACATTTAGCGGGTCCCTGCCTGTGCCAGGCCCTTGCTAGATGCCCTCCTCCACGTGCAGTATTACATAACTGTCCTGTGCTGGTGACTTCTTCCCTGATCCACCCCATCCCTGGGAGAGCAACCACACTTTCCCGCCTCCCGCTCAGCTCCAAAGGTGATGATGGTCCCCAGTGTGGTGGTGCTGTACGGGCATCCTCATTCCTTTAGACTGTGAACCCCTTGAGGGCAGACCCTGGTCAGATGCGTTCTGTAGCCTCCGCCCCAGCAGCAGGACACAGGAGGTCCCCAGGGCTGTGCCGTAGAGAGCACGCAGGGTTGGATCCTTTTCTGGTTTTCCTATTTGCTACTTCTGTGGCCCAGAGCAAGTTTCTTAAGCTCTGGGGCGAGGGCAGGCTGGACACATTTATTCATCTGACTGATGGGAGAACAAAAACTTACTTTTAAAATACTCCTGCTGTGTGTTTGGCACCCTCTGATGTTTTCAAAGGCATCATTTCATTTCATGCTCATGCCGACCATGAAGCAGGTACTGTTAGTAACCACACTCCTCAGAGAACGAGGCTGAGGCTCAGAGAGGCAGTGCACTGACCTGTTGTCACACAGCTAGGAAGAGGTGAAACTGGAATTTAATCTAAATTGGATGTGAGTCCAGAGTGCTTCGTTTCTCCTGCAGCAGGCTGCCTCCCTGTCAAGAGAAAGTTAACTCAGCTCCCTCCAAGAAGTCACAATCCCTGCCACTCCCTACTGGGTCAATTGACATTTAAGGAAAAATCAGGGAGCCACCTTAGCCCCAAAGAAGATTACTCATTTAAAAAAAAATCAAATTTATCTTTGGACCTGGCTAATCTATTTCAAATTAACTGGAAATTTAAATGCTCTGCATTTTCTCAGGATAATGGAGTGTACCTGCCTAGACCCTTTTAATAATGAGTTTATCTGTGGTCACATTTTATCTGTTTAGAACTTCATCCTACTAATGTCATTTCTACAAGTCCTGTTCCTTCTTTCTCCATTTTATGCATCAGATAAAAGGAAAAGAGTGTACATTTCATATTGGCACCATACTGTAATTTTGGAAAATAAATTGTGTAGAGATGGAGATTGTCGTTTAGAATCCTTAATCCTGTAATTTTCCTACATGTAAGACTTTAATTCAGGCTGTTGGCTTAAGTCCTGATTGTCCCAATCTCTCCGTCTTCCCCTGCTCTTTCTTTTATCTGAGGAAAAGAGTGGTTACCTAAATATTTCAGAGATGCTGCTAACGTTTTGTACATTTCATGTTCTCTCATTTAATCCTTAGAACAGCCTTGCAAGTCAGGTGCTGTTATCCCACTGAATAGATGGAGAAACGGGGCTCTAGGCGGTTAGGTGACTTGACCACAGGCACCCAGCTCCGAAGCATCAGGGCTGCAGCCCTTACCTCGAGATGCGGGAGCAGAGCTGGTTCTTGAGGAGTCTGGGGCATTAGATAACTCGTGTGCGATCAGTTACAAGCCCCTTGTCCACATGCATCTGTGACCTTCTCCATGTTTCGTGCCTTATCATTGAAAAGTCCCACTGCCCCAGGAGGATGGCAGCTTACATGGAGCCCGTGCCCTCAAGATTTTGCTGGAGGCTGCTGTGCATGGTCAAA